CTCGTCGAACAGCGGCGTGGGCGGCGTCTCCTGCGAGTCCGTGCGCGCCAGCTGCGGCCCGCCCTCTGCCACACGCGCAAGCACTCACGTTAGATCGCACTCACGTCCACATTGGGGACTCTACAATATTAGGTTACCTAGCGAAATGACATTAGTGTACAAACTAAAACTGAACTAAACTATGTTTTCTCGCCTCGCGAGCGAGCGAGAGGGCGAGAGGGCGAGAGGGCGAGAGAGAGAGAGAGAGAGAGAGAGAGAGAGAGTAGCTAGTATAAGAAAGTGAGTATCTGTGTGTGTATGAGAGAGAGAGAGATAGAGATAGAGAGAGAGAGAGAGAGAGAGAGAGAGACAGCGTCGAACAGCGTCGAACAGCGGCGTGGGCGGCGTCTCCTGCGAGTCCGTGCGCGCCAGCTGCGGCCCGCCCTCTGACACACGCGCAAGCACTCACGTTAGATCGCACTCACGTCCACATTGGGGACTCTACAATGTGTTACCTAGCGAACTGACATTAGAGTACTAACTAAAACTAAACTAAACTATGCTTTCTCGCCTCGCGATCGAGCGAGCGAGAGGGCGAGAGAGAGAGTGAGAGAGAGAGAGTAGCTAGTATAAGAAAGTGAGTATCTGTGTGTGTATGTGTGGGTGTGAGAGAGAGAGAGACAGAGAGAGATGAGCTAGTATAAGAAAGTGAGTATCTGTGTGTGTATGAGAGAGAGAGAGATAGATAGAGAGAGAGAGAGACAGCGTCGAACAGCGGCGTGGGCGGCGTCCTCTGCGAGTCCGTGCGCGCCAGCTGCGGCCCACCCTCTGGCACACGCGCAAGCATGCACGTTAGATAGCACTCACGTCCACATTGGGGACTCCACAATATTAGGTTACCTATCGAAATCACTCTAGGGTACTAACTAAAACTGAACTAAACTATGTTTTCTCGCCTCGCGAGCGAGCGAGTGAGAGGGCGCGAGAGAGAGAGAGAGAGAGAGAGAGAGAGTAGCTAGTGTAAGGGAGTGAGTATGGTTGTGTGTGTGTGAGAGAGAGAGACAGAGAAAGAGAGAGAGACAGCGTCGAACAGCGGTGTGGGCGGCGTCTCCTGCGAGTTCGTGCGCGCCAGCTGCGGCCCGCCCTCTGACACACGCGCAAGCACTCACGTTAGATCGCACTCACGTCCACATTGGGGACTCTACAATGTGTTACCTAGCGAACTGACATTAGAGTACTAACTAAAACTAAACTAAACTATGCTTTCTCGTCTCGCGATCGAGCGAGCGAGAGGGCGAGAGAGAGAGAGAGAGAGAGAGAGAGAGAGAGAGAGAGAGAGAGAGAGAGCGTCGAACAGCGTCTAACAGCGGCGTGGGCGGCGTCTCCTGCGAGTCCGTGCGCGCCAGTTGCGGCCCGCCCTCTGGCACACGCGCACGCACTCACGTTAGATCGCACTCACGTCCACATTGGGGACTCTACAATATTAGGTTACCTAGCGAACTGACATTAGAGTACTAACTAAAATTGAACTCTACTCTGTTTTCTCGCCTCGCGAGCGAGCGAGCGAGAGGATGAGAGAGCGTGAGAGAGAGAGAGAGAGAGAGAGCGAGAGAGAGCGAGAGAGAGAGAGTGAGAGAGAGAGAGAGGAGCTAGTATAAGGGAGTGAGTATGTGTGTGTGAGAGAGAGATGAGCTTGTATAAGGGAGTGAGTATGTGTGTGTGAGAGAGTGAGAGAGAAAAGGGAGAGAGAGACATGAAGCAAGAAGAAGAGTATGGGAGTGACTATGTGTGGGAGTGAGTGCTACGACGAGTGATCTTGTGTGTTCGTATGTGTGTGTGAAGGAGGGAGTGAGTGAGAGAGAGAGAGGAGCGACGAAGAGATCGTGACAGAATATGCATGTTTGTTTATGAGCGAGAGATCGATGAAGAGAGCGGAAGGGTGCGGGAGTGTCTATTTGTGGGAGTGAGAGCGAAGAATTGAAAAGAAGCGTGAAAGAGTATGTACGTGTGGGAGTAAGATGGTGCGATGAATTGAAAGGAAGGTTAACGTGTCTCTGTATATGAGTCAGAGAGATAGTGAGATAACGAAGAAGCTAGTGTGAGAGAATGTGTACGCGTGTGTGTGAGAGAGAGAGGGAGGGAGGTAGAGCTACTAATTGAAAGGAAACTACAGGGGTCTCTTTGTGTGTGAGAGGGAGGGAGCGATGAATTAAAAGGAATCTCATGGGGGTTCTGCGTGTGTGTGTGTCTGTGTGAGAGTGAGGGAGGGAACGATGAATTGAAAGAAAGTATAAGGAGTCTGTGTGTGAATGAGAGAAACAGAGAGAGAGAGAGAGAGAGAGAGAGAGACAAAAGCAAGTATAAGGGAGTGTGTGTGTATGAGAAAGAGAGAGAGAGATGAAGAGCGGAGAAGAGTATGGAAGCGTCTATATGCGAGAGTGAGAGCTACGACGAGAGAGCTAGTGTGTGTGAGTGAGAGAGAGGGAGAGAGAGAGCGATAACGAAGAAGCTAGTGTTTGTACGAGTTTGTACGTGTGTGTGAAAGGAAGGAAGGGAGCGATGAATTGA